GAGAAGAAGAAGAAGGAGAAATATGTGCCCTATTTTCTACTCGGTGCTCCCCCCACAAAACTTCAGGAAGTGGCAAGTTTATAAATTGGCAAAGAAATTTAAAGCGCAAGGAGAGAGAAATGGGGTTTGGTCATCTTCTTGGTATACTTTGAATAAGCTGCTCAGAGATTTATGTCTGGAGTTGATTCATGCATATGACCCCCCCAAGTAAACAAATTACCATAAGGGGGAAGACAAAGAAGGTCACGTGTACAGATGTTAGGAGGGTTCTTGGGTTACCAGATACGGCTCCAAAGTGAAGTTGGATGGCTTCAAGGATGAAGTAAATGAGCTGAAGAAGGACTATACTCCACTGACATATTCTCAATTGCGGAGAAGATAAAGAGTGATGAAGAAGATGGAAACTTTGAATTCATTTTGTTCTTTTCACAGTGGGCACTCTTCTTTGTCCCACGGAAGTGCAAGTGTGAGTGACAAGGTGCTAAAAGTAATGGCCTGCACAGAAAATAACTGGAAAAAATTTGACTGGGCTCCTTTGTGCTTGACGAGCTCAGTGAGGAAATTAACGGTACAATAGGATCAGTAAGGAAGGACAGACCGAGAGTGCCAGAGTCGTCGGAGGTGCATCTACTTTTTATTGGTACTTGCATATTTCCTTACAAAATATGCCCTGTTGGATATGCTTTGAACATTAAACTGTTGATGTATTATTATTTGATTTTTGAGTCATATTTTTTCTTTCTCTGTAGTTGTGTTAAACATCCTAATTTTCATGTATCTAATATTTAAACAATTTTTTATAGAATAGGTAGAGGTTAAATATACATATATGTATTAAAATAATTCTGCTTGTGTGTGTGTGTGTATGATAAAATGAATAAAATGACGATGTTAAGAAGTCCCACATTGATTAAATGATAGGAAGTGAATAAAATAGCAATGTTAAGAAGTCCCACATCGACTAATCTTTAGAGTGAAGGAGTTTGAGGAGCCTATATATAGGAGCTAGTGAGTGGAGCTTGGAGTAAGTAAATAATTTTCGCACATATCTGAGGTAGTCTCAGAAAAGTGCTAGTTTTGATTTTATTAACCGTTGGATCGGACTGAAATTTGGTCGGCCCATTTGGGACATCCAAATCGTTAATTTCAACGGTTAGATCACCCTTTTGATCTCCGAGTTACAAGTTATTAGGTACGTTTTTAACTTATATCTTTTGAATTTAGCATATAGAGTCTTGAATAGTAAATTAGTATTTTAAAGTTTATTCACCGTTAGATTGAGCTATAATTTGGAGGATAGTATCATGATAGATAGGAAATTAAATTCAACGGTTAGATTATGCGTTTAACTTCTGTAGTGAGAATAAATTGGTTCGTACTAAGTCTATTTGTCTAAGTCTTTCGAAGATGGAATATAAGTTATAAATTTATAGTTTGTCTATTTCATTATGAATTTGATGATTCTAATAAATAATATAATATTAAGGGATATTAAGTAAGGAAAATTAGGAATCGAGTCTAAATCACGTATATTATTATATGTTCTCATTCCAAACCTTAGAGAAATATCTTTTAGACTAGAGTTCTGAGTAAAATTAAAGCTTCTAGAGAAGGAGATAGAGGCTAGAATTTTGTGAGTAGCCTACTCTAATACTATAGAATAATATTTTAATTTTTTTTGTAGATATAAACTCTATTGTGGCATTTTTGAGGTTGGACTCTGGTTGTAGTTGACTGTTAGCTAGGAGACCAGGGTAACAAAATTTCTATCTGTTGCATGCTCTAGTATGAAGTTGGTGAGCGGCTTATAACTAATTCTATAAAAGTATATTACATTTTGTATGAACTGTCTTGTGGGATGCTATTTTTAAAAGGATTGACATAGTTTGTATTGCAAGAAATTGGTGATCATAATGATGATGTGCTATTATGAAATTCTGTTGATTATGCATATAAATGTGTCATTTTGAACCCTGTGCATCTATTTTGGGTGGGAAAGGAGGTAATTGGAGCTATTGAGATTCATATACTTGCCACGTGGTATTACCTCCATACGGAGCTCTATGGTTGGCTGTTATTGTTGTCCCACTAGTTCTTCGAGGGACTGCGACACCCCAACTAGTTCTTCGAGGGGGGACCCATGGTCCACGAGTGCTCTGTGGTCTTTGGCCGGTCCACATCATTCGTGTGGTGAGCTTGTTAGAGTTGCCAGTCAAATGGAAAGAACTTAGCCCATGGGTCCAGTCGGCGGACATAAGGAGGATATAAGGATGGATTTGGGTTTAGGAATTGCATATGACATGAAATATTCATTGATATTTATATCTTTTAAATAAATGACAAGTGCGTTATCTATTTTAAAATGTATAAATTGCATGAGAGTGGTGGAAATATTTGTCTTATATGATTATTGTGAGTTTAAATGTTAAATAAATGTTTATCAATTATTATTAACTCTGTGTATCCCACCTGACACCTCGCTAGCCCATGCTAGGGTGTGTGATAGGTAGGGATTTAGTTACTGAGACGTTGTCTCATCCCTATTGTTTAACATTTTTCAGGTGAAAGCTTTAAAGGAGGGACGTCAGGGAAGGCTCAGGAGGAGTAAAGCTACATTAGCAACTTGTAGCGTCTCCTCGGTTTATGAGCTGTGTTGTATCCTGTATATTGCCACCTTAGGATAAATTGTTTTTAATTGATTCATGCATTATTATTTCTTATGTCTTTTGAGTGTACTATTGTGGTATGTGTGCGGATAGGTGGCCAGAGGCCTAGGATGGTATATTCGCATGTGATTTGTTTATGAATTTATTATAAAGTATGAATTAAGATTTAATTCTTAACATTTTGACTTATGAGCTATATTATATGTTGTATTATAACTATATTAGATAAGATTAATCCTTTCTTATATAGTTTGTATTTGAATGAGTTAAGAAAAATTCTTTTATCCGTGATAGGATGTATGATTGGGTGCTGCTCTTTTCTATCACGGATAACAATATTATATAATTAGTTAGTGTAGATGATTGTGATATAATTTGAGTTTGTATTTAGCATAGTTTGGTTATAAAATGTTATTTCTTAAAGTTACTATGAAAAAGTTAAGTTTATCTGTTTATTTAGGGAGGTTGTTTCAAGTTGCACTTCCTGTAAAGGTTCCCTCTACAGGGAGGTGAACCAAAAGACAAAGACGCCGTCAGATATTGGGATGATAAGGCTGTGAAGAGGAGAATTGATGCGGAAAAGGAGAGTCGACATGGCATTTTCTACAGTCCACCCGCTGCTGAAGTGAATGAGTCAACACAACCGGGGAGCAGTACAAGTTTCCATCATCCGGTGAGTAATACCAATGTGATAATGTCTGTTGGTGAGACTTAATATCTGTTTGATGACATACATTTACAATGTGCAGGACATTAAGGAGTTTTGGCTCAATTTCAACACCACATTGAACAATGAGATGACCAAGATTCAAAACTTAGTTTGTGATGAATTAGTTAAGTTGGAAAATAAACTTCTTAACCGGGGAGGCAATGAAGAAGAAGGAAAAGAACACCACACTGAGGAGGATGAAAATGAGCGGCCACAACATGATGAAGTTATGACTGTAGAGAGCGGAGAAACACATGAAAGTGGTGACAAATTGCATGATGATGAACAGCAAGAAGAAGAAGAAGAAGAAGAGGAAGATGAAGACGAGAACGACAATGTGAGAGAAGATGAAGCTGCGGATAAGGATACTGAAGATGAACAGGCAGCTCAAACGGAAGAAGGGAAAATGGTGGGCAAAGCAGTGCAGCTACCCACAAGGAGGTCAAGTAGACGTAAAGTCCCAGCAGTTAAATCTCCTTACATGTCTACTTATGGCAGAAAGGTGAAAATGAGTGACAGGGATGCATTTTATACTGTGTGTACTGAGTGGTGTCAACCAGATGAGGCTCAAGAGTAAGTATAGTCAGTTATTATGGAAAAGACAGCCTGTGAATAATACTACTATGCAACACTGACTACTTATTTTCACTTTCATATTTGTTGTAGGGTCATGGTAGATATGTTTGGGCATTTGGCAACACGATCAGACCTACAAGCACTGGGTCCCAGAAGGTGGATAAGCAACAGGGTACGTGCACCTATTCAAGTTACATCAAAGTGGCCATATATGGAATGTGCCACAATTTTAATTTAATTTTCCTGCTCCTTTATTCTACAGATCATGACTCTGATTGCCCACACCTTGAACGCTGACCAACATGAGAGTGCCTCTGCGGTTAAAAGACACATATTTGATGCAGATTTCACGGTTAGTGCTATCCCCTGTTAATGGATCAATGCTTTAAATTGTGCAATAAAGTTATCGATACAGTTTCTTCACTGACAATTTGCATTGCTGTGCAATTTGCTGTTGTGATAGGCAAGGATGGTGCAGCAACACACAGCATGGCAAGTGGACAAACACCTGAAAGAACTACTTCCCCAACACGTGGGATACAATTTGGCTGAATGTGAATACATATTTGCACCTGTTGTGTTTGCACTGCATTGGTTTTGCTTTGTGTTTGAACCGAGCACACTAAAGTTTTATGTGCTGGACTCTCTGCGTGGTGGTGAGGATACAATGAAGCACCAAAAGAAGAAGAATAAGTCTGATCCAGCATTAAAGGGGCAGCAAATGATGGCGCAAACTTTTGTAAGTGGTGTAATTATTCTGCTACTTTTGTGTTGGACAACCATAGTATCCCCTGTGTGATAATCATCTGTAATTGTGTAGAGGGCACACTTCATTGAAATACTAAGGAGAGTGAAGCCTGAGCTGGAGGGGTTGGCCAACCCAGATTCAAACAATGACATCTTGTATCCCACGGTTCATGTTCAAGACAATACGTGAGTCTTTTGTTCACTGAAAGTTATTTGTCATAAATTATAATCGACATACATAAGCCAGCATAGTGATGTGTTCATTTTTTCAGTGATGATTGTGGGGTTCATGTCATCACATATCTAAGAGAGTGGCCCAACCCACAAGAGAAGGATGGAGTTCTATTCACCATGCCTTATTATACAGCGGTAGGTGTTGAATTATATATTAATGACATCATGCATTTGTGTCAACTTACTGAGAACAGTTGTTGTTGTCCCATAGGATCAATACACATCTATACGGTGTGAGCTATTGTGGTGGCTCGTGACGCATCAAAGAAACATCAAGTCAGATGCTGTTACCAAACACCTTGACCACATTAACAGACAACGCAAGAGAAAGCGATGACTGATCAAATTCCTACCTTGTAGTTTTTGCTGATAAGCACTGTAATTGTTGTTGTGAACACTTTATGCGGACTAAAATGTTGTGCATACAAACGATGTTAATGAAGACTGTTTTGATGGATTCATATTATCACTACTTGTTTACTTTCATTAGATGTACGGTTAACAACAAAAATTAGGGAATTTGCACCAAAAAACAGGAATTAACACCAAATGTTCGTCCATTTCCAACTGAACAACCTACATCAGGGATTAGACCTTTGCACGAACGATTAGACAATTTGCAAGAGAGACAAATAAGTTAACAACAGAAATTAGAGCATTCACAAGTGTCGTTCATCTGCTGAACAACGTGTCCTCTTAAATATGCAAGTGCCCTCCTTCACCTGAATAAGGTGTCCATTTCCATGAGGAACTAGGGAATTTGCTACTCCGATACATATATTCACAACTGTAATCAGTCCATTTACATGTGCCGTCCTTGACCTGAACAGGGTGCGCATTTGCAAGGGGAACTAGCCAATTTGCACAACACATACCGATATTCACACGTGGAATCAGTCCATTCACATGTCGACTGGTCCAGCTGAAGCATGTGTCCGTGAGGGAACAAGTGCGGGAGAGCGCATTTGCAAGGGGAACTAGCCTATTTATAAAATACATACCTATATTCACACGTGGAATCCGTCCGTTCATATTGGCAAAGGGGACTAGCTAATTTGCAAGACACATACTTGGCTTCACATGTGGACTGATCCACCTGATGCATGCGTCTTCCTTAAGTGTGGGACAACCCATTTACAAGTGGGACTAGACAATTCGCACCATACATGCATATTTTCACAACTATAAATAATCCATTTACATCTGACCTACTCGTACTGAAGGAGGTGTCCGTGGGTGAACAGCTGTGCAAGGGCCCATTTGCAAATGAGATTAGACAATTTGCCACATACATACAAATATTTACAACTACAAATAGTCCATTTGCATGCGGACTGATTCACCTGGAGAAGCTGTCCAAGTATGGTTTCGTATACCATTTGCAAGTGACATTAGACAATTGGCAACATACATATATATATTCACAACTGTAATCAGTCCATTTACATATGACGACCTTCACCCGAAGAAGCTGTCCGTCAGTGGACAGGCAGGGGAATCTCCGTTTGCAAGTGAGATTAGACAATTTGCAACATACATAAAATATTTACAACTAAAAATAGTCCATTTGCATGCGGACTGATTCACCTGGAGAAGCTGTCCAAGTATGGTTTCGTATACCATTTGCAAGTGACATTAGACAATTGGCAACATACATATATATATATTCACAACTGTAATCAGTCCATTTACATATGACGACCTTCACCCGAAGAAGCTGTCCGTCAGTGGACAGGCAGGGGAATCTCCGTTTGCAAGTGAGATTAGACAATTTGCAACATACATACAAATATTTACAACTAAAAATAGTCCATTTGCATGCGGACTGATTCACCTGGAGAAGCTGTCCAAGTATGGTTTCGTATACCATTTGCAAGTGACATTAGACAATTGGCAACATACATATATATATTCACAACTGTAATCAGTCCATTTACATATGACGACCTTCACCCGAAGAAGCTGTCCGTCAGTGGACAGGCAGGGGAATCTCCGTTTGCAAGTGACATTACACAATTTGCAACATACATACAAATATTTACAACTAAAAATAGTCCATTCGCATGTGGACAGATTACAGCCTAACATATCCTGCGACAGCTATAGTCACCTACTGTCATGAAATTTTTTAACTATTGACACCACTATACAAAATATAATCGAACCCACCACCAAAAAATCAAAATGGGTTGTCATAGCTACTTCCCCAACAACTCAACAACTACATAGTGGGGCTCATTTATGTACAAAAGTAGCTGTGTGTTGAACCAAAAAAATAAAAGACCATTTTGAGCAACAAAGTCACCCAGGGTTCGGGTTAGTGCAAATCTTTCTAGTGTGACCAGCTTCACCACATCCTGAGCAATGATACGCTTTCTTCTGCTGGAATTGTGATTCAATCCTCCTACCTCTGGGTCTTCCAGCACGCCGAGTTGTCAATGGTGGTTGTAGGAAGATGGTGGACGAGTAATCTTCATATCGAGGGAATTGGCCTAGGGATGTCATGGGTCTCAACTGGAATCATGAGTCTGCCATAAATTTTCTTTTGGGCTGAGAGTAAAAAGCAATCCTCGACATATGCATATATATTACCATATACCTTCTTGATTGCAGCACACACATGTGGGCAAGGTAGTCCTGACATTTGCCAACCTTTGCAGGTGCATTCACGTAACACAAGATTTACCCGCACATCTAGGTTTCCCCATCTGACCCTGAAATTGTTCATTCCATAATTTTGCACATCCATTCTTTCTGATCTGGCCACATGATCCATCAACTTTTCCTCTATATTAGGTCCCATACCATTGCTCCAATTCGTCATGGCTTCTTTGCTGTGGTACATCTTGTTTGCGAATTTTTCCCTGTGCTCATGTATCAAGATAGCTATGTTGTGCTTCCTCTCACCAACAAGCCAAGCATTAAAGGATTCGGCTAGATTTGTTGTGATATTGTCCCACCTCTTGTAAGGAATTTTGTTTTGTGCCCAACGCTCAATGTCTCCATTTGTTTGAAGCCATTGTCCTAATTCTGGACAAAATGCTATTAGCTTTTCCATACTGCAATCAAAGTCTCTATCAAGTCTTGCGTATGCAATACAATCAAGTAATTTTAGTGCAACTTCCTTTGTCTGTCCGCTGGTCCTCCTCTTTCCCCTGGTTATCTTCAAAAACTCAGCACTGTAATTCTCCTTCACATGACGGTAGCAAAAAGCATGTCGATCTCCTCCAAACACGGCTTGCACTGCACCTTTTATTGAGTTGTGTCTATCCGATACTATTGTCACTTCTAATGAGCCCGTAATATCCTTTATGTTACCAAGAAACCATGCCCAGTCATCAAGCGTCTCACCTCCAACAATCGCATATGCAAGTGGGAATAATTCATTATCCGCGTCATACGCTTGTGCTCCCAATAACGTTCCTTTGTACGGACCACTCAAGTGGCATCCATCCACATATAATACAGGTCTGCCACCTTTCAAAAACCCTTCTACACAGCAACCGTATGCAATAAATACAGCTTGAAATCTATTATCTGATGATGCAACCCACTTTGCTACCGTTTCTGGATCACTTTCCTTCAGCCTTTCACATATCCAAGGGATTAGCATATAAGACTCCTGCGGACAACCATGAATTTTTGCCAATGCTTTCTCTTTCGCCCTATATGCTTGTTGGTAGTTGAGCCTCAACCCATACTCTCTTTCCAAATCCCGTCTAATGTCATTTGGAGCTTTGTGCATGCAAGAAATCAACTCATCTATTATGACTGCTGAAGCAAGTTTGCACCTCTTTCTCTGAGGGACAACTAAGTTGTCTTGTGCATAATGCAAGTGTTCATAGTTAAATCTTCTCACAACTAGGAATCCATTATTCTCACCTACACCATATGCTGAA